TTTGCACTCAACCATCCTGGGTGACAGAGTTGAGATTCTATCTCCAAAAAAAAAAAAAAAAAAAAAAACAAAAAAAAAAAAAAAAAAAAAAAAAAAAAGGAAAATAGTATTTTAGGGAAAAAGTATTTTTATTCAGTGGGAAGTACTCAAAAAGAACCATCTTGGACTGCTGCGTCAGTCATTTTGACCAAATTTAAACAGCTAGTTTAAGTGGGAAGATCCAGAAACATGCAGGGTTGTGCAAAATGTAGCCTCAAATTTTAATAAATTGTACTGTACACACTGGAAAACTATTGTGAAGGTATTTCCATGTTGTGATTTAACTTTCATCATTGAATTTAAAGTTTGAGTTTATAAGAAGCTAATATAACTGGTTTGATGGTAGAAATGTTGGTATTAACATTTTAATTGATGATAGAAATGTTGGTATTAACATTCTAACACTGTGTAATGATTATATTATTGGGAGAATAATCTAGTCTTAACATTAAAGGAACTGTTGGCCGGGCGCGGTGGCTCAAGCCTGTAATCCCAGCACTTTGGGAGGCCGAGGCGGGTGGATCACGAGGTCAGGAGATCGAGACCATCCTGCTAACTGGGGAACCCCGTCTCTACTAAAAAAATACAAAATAAACATAGCCGGGCGTCGGTGGCTGGGCGCCCTGTGGTCCCAGCTACTCGGAGGCTGAGGGCAGGGAATGGCGGTGAAACCTGGGAAGGCGAGCTTGTGCAGTGGAGCCGAGTTCGCGCCACGCACTCCAGCCTGGTGGACACAGGCGCGAGACCCACCGCGTCTAAAAAAAAAAATAAATTAAAAAAAAAAAAAATAAAAAATAAAAAATAAAGGGAACTGTGTGTGTGCTGTAGTTTCCTTAAAACTGTTTTCCCTTTTCAGTGATTGTCTGTGCTTCACTAATTTCCATAACCAAGCTGGAGTGGATCCAAGAGAAAAGGTAACATTTAAGTTGTCGTGAATGTGGCTGTTGGCGTGGTTGTGTGAGGTTTTGGCCAGGCTAGGTCTAGGGAAAATCACGCCATTTTTCTAGAACAAGTTGCAAAATGAAGGAAACATGGATATGTAATCCATTTACGTCCATCAACTTGCCAGGGTGGTAGTAAACTATCAGGGTAATTCCAATGCTTCTGAATTATATTCAAAATATTTGAAGTTCCCTAATTTCCTTTCTTTGTTCGTCTGTTTTGGGGGCACAGAGTCTCTGGCTGTTTGCCCAGGCTTGGAGTGCAGTGCGTGCAATCTTGGCTCATGCAACCTTCTGCTCCCAGGGCTCAAGCAATTCCCTGCCCTCCAGTCCTCCCAAGTAAGGTGGGAACTACAGGGCCCGCCACCAGGTCCAGCTAATTTGGTTTTGTTTTTTTTCTGGAGACAGCTCTGACCACTAGGCTGGAGTGAAGTGGCATGATCCTCATCTCCACTGCAACCTTTGCCTCCTGGGTTCAAGCGATTCTTGTGGCCTCAGCCTCCTGAGTGTAGCGGAACCCACAGGTGTGCGCCACTATGCCTGGCTAATTTTTGTATTTTTAGTAGAGACAGGTTTTTCCCATGTTGGCCAGGCTGGTTTGGAGCTCCTAGCCTCAAGTGATCCTCCCACCTCGACCTCCCAAAGTGCGGAATTATAGGCACCTGACCCACCGCCACCCGGCCCTCTAATTTATTTCTTTTCTTTCTTTTTCTTTTTTCTTTTTCTTTTTCTTTTTTTTTTGAGACAGTATCGCTCTGCCACCCAGGCTGGAGTGCAGTGGCACAATCTCGGCTCACTGCAAGCTTTGCCTCCCGGGTTCACACCATTCTCCAGCCTAAGCCTCCCGAGTAGCTGGGACTACAGGCGCCCGCCACCTCGCCCAGCTAATTTTTTGTATTTTTAGTAGGGACAGGGTTTCACTGTGTTAGCCAGGATGGTCTCGATCTCCTGACCTCATGATTCGCCTGCCTCGGCCTCCCAAAGTGCTGGGTTTACAGGCATGAGCTACCGCACCTGGCCTCTAATTTCTTTCTTAAACATTTCAACTATCTATCCTTAGTAAAAGAGTGCGAATGAAGGTGTTTGGGGCCAAAGGGAGCGTGAAACGTTAAGTAGAGAGGACGATACGAGCTCCAGTGTGGTGTATAGTTCATTTCAGGATAGAGTGAGAAATTGCTGCAGCCAGGGATAATTGTGCAAGGGTGTAGTGGCTGTAAGAGGCAGGCAGAGAGGCTTGTACTTGACATAGGTGACCAGAGTAAGATTTTGAAGACTTTTTTTTCATGAGACGGAGTTTCGCCCTTGTTGCCCAGGCTGGAGTGCAATGTCGTAATCTTGGCTCACTGCAACCTCTGCCTCTCCGGTTCAAGCAGTTCTCCTGTCTCCGCCTCCCAAGTAGCTGGGATTACAGGCACGCGCCACCATGCCCAGCTAGTTTTTGTATTTTTAGTAGAGACAGGGTTTCATGAAATGTGTTAGCCAGGATGGTCTCGATCTCTGCCCTTGTGATCCCCCCGCCTCGGTCTCCCAAAGTGCTGGGATTACAGGCATGAGCCACTGCGCCCGGCCTGAAGACTTTTGAACAGTAAAGCAAATAGAAAGAGTATTATCAGATGAGCGTTAGACAGAAGCAATGCCTGGGATGGCTTGGAGAGCTTGGCATTAGGAAGGTAAGGAGAAGGCAGTTCTACTAGTTCACATTTCAAATAGGGGCAATCTGATGGGTGTTGGCAAATGACTAACACAAGAATGAAGTGGCATGATGAATCAAAGGTGACTTCTAAGTTTTTATCTTAGGTGAACCAAAGAATTTATTCCCGTGACCAGAAATAAGGCCCCTAACAGGGATAAATAATTTAGTAGGTGGAAGTGGATGAGTTTGGTTAGAATTGATGACTCTGAGGTTATCATGATATATCGATGTTCGAAACATGGGCCTAGGCCAGGCGCTGTGGTTCATGCCTGTAATTCCAGCACTTTGGGAGGCTGAGGCAGGAGGATTGCTTGAGTCCAGGAGATCAAGACCAGTCAGGGTAACACAGTAAGACCCTGTCTCTACAAAAATTAGCCAGACATTGTGGCACGCGCGTGTAGTCCCAGCTACTTGGGAAGCTGAGGTGGAAAGATTGCTTGCACCCAGGTGGTCCTAGACTTCTGGTGGGACTGGGAGTCAGAGTGTAGGGTAGAGTTGTTAACAGTGTGGGGTAGACCAGGACTTTTTGGACCAAGGATCAGAATACATGGAACCAAAAGTATGACATTGAAATCAACTCATTCTATCAGATACCTGTAGTAGGGGTTCATCTAGATGCCTTATAGGAGAATCAAGGATGCCCCAGGAAAGAAGAGTTAGTGAGAGACCAACAGAAGATTCTTTCCCTCAAGGATCAGGCAGAAGAGTACCTCCAGCAAAGGAAAAGTAAAAGGATCATGGACCAGCGAGAAGAACTAGACTTGTGTTGTATGGTAGACCTCATTGATGAGTCCCTACCACACGCAAGACAGTGAAAGATTGTAGAGCGCAGGGTGGCCATGGGATAGAGGATCCTGAGGGATTTTATAGTTCAGAGGGGCAAACAGCCAGTTGTCAGTGGCTAAACGTAATACTTTGAAGAATTAAAAAATGCTGAACTGGACTTCAGACAACACAATGTGGAAATGCAGAAGCAATAGCAATTAATCCTAATGATGGAGTGAGAGGACATACGATCCCAGAGACTAAGGAAAGGACATTTTTCAAAGGCAAGGGAAGTGGCTAACCATGGCATACGCAGCTGAACAACCTTTAGGAATGAAGTCCCTCAATTTGGGCAATAAGGGAGTCAGTGATGCTTGTCAAAAAGTAGTTTCAGTAAAATGCCAAGGTTAGAAGTCAATGGCAAGAAGTTAAATAGTGAGAGGGATGGTTCATTCATTCAGCTGTCAACCAAATGTTTATTGAGTCCTGTTCTGGACTGGAGGTAAGAGGTATAGGAGAAACACCAGGGTGGCTAGAGGGGACAGCAGGATTTCCAGAGAAGGAGAACTCTGGCAGGTGATGGAAGCCTGCCAAGACAAGAGAGAGACAGAAGATGGTGAGGAAGAGAATGATCCAGACAAGAGATCAAATAGTGCTTCTTGGCTGGGCACAGTGGCTTATGCCTGTAATCCCAGCACTTTGGGAGGCCGAGGCAGGTGGATCACTTGAGGTCAGAGTTCAAGACTAGCCTGCCCAATATGGTGAAACCCTGTCTCTACTAAAAAAAAAAAAAAAGAAAAAAAAATTAGACAGGTGTGGTGGCACACATCTGTAGTCCCAGCTACTTGGGAGGCTGAGGCAGGAGAATCGCTTGTGCCCAGGAGTTGGAGAGTTGGAGGTTGCAGTGAGCTGAGGTCATGCTAATGCTCTCCAGCCTGAGCAACAAGAGTGAGACTCCATCTCAAAAAAAAAAAAAGAAAGAAAGAAAGAAAAAGATTAAAAAAGGGCTTCTTTAAAATGTAACCTTAAAATGGTCAAATTAGCCAATAGGTTAGACCTAGACAAAAGGCAGCTTTTTTTTTTTTTTGTCTTATATGTGGGGAATTAGCCCCATCACGCGAAGGGGGTTCAGTTCCTCTTTCCATTGGTGAGAACCTCTTTCCGAAAGTGAGACCGCGTAGCGGAGCAGCTCAGGTGTACTTTACTTTTCAGCCACTCGGGGGAGACCTTCTACCACAAACCCGCTGCCAGACAGGGCTTACGAAGTTTATTTCCAGGCAGTTAAAAATCTGTTATATTCCACTTTCTATCTTAAAAATGTGAAAAGTACATGGTTTTCTGTTCACTCCATAAATGACTGTGCCACTCTTGCATTTCCTTCTGTTCCTAATATCAAAGAATGTAAAAAAAATCCCTTTACATTAATTCACTGAATAATCATTTAGGTACTGCCCCAGACTTCTGTGTAGTGGTTTACAGCTTTCACAGCGCATTTATGTGCAGTGACTTACTTGGTGGTGGTGGTGGGGGGTGATAATGATAATATCACTGTCTCATTTCACATAGCAAGGATATTAGGGCTTTGCCTGCATTCAGGACTCTTGGTTCCATGTACTTTCATTAATATCACACTTAAGAAATTCCCCCCAAAGTTGTGCCTTTACTTTTAGAAGCCATTTTCCTTGTTCAGGAATGATACGGGATGGGGCAGGTCCCCTGGTACTGGTACCAAAAGGAGGAAGCCTCTGTTCTCTACCTCCTACTGTAGGCTGGTCAGGTTCTCCTCGCTGTGACCTAGCATGAGAACAGTGGGTGGATGTGACCATGACAAGGAGAGTGAAGAGTGATGCTTGGAGGGCTTGGTGTGCCTCCTCTAGATCTGTCTGGATGAAAACAGGATCAAAGAAAACAACTGTCAACCATGGAACTGCCCTGTGATCCAGCACGTTACTCACCCTTGCAGCCTACAGCAGTTTGGGGCAGAGCAGCAGTGGGATCAGCCCTCAAGGGCACATGCCAAGGGCAGAGCAGCCCGTGTAGACAGCTTCGGAGGGCATGGGGGTTTAGGGAGTTAGGGGTAGCTCCTCGTTTCAGCAAAGCAGAAAGTGATGTAGGAAATCAGAGAGGGCACACTGACGGTCCCCAGGCCTCATTTGGCATGTGAGCTGATGTCAGAATGCAGACGTGCATTTTTGACTTAAAGTTTTATTTATTTTTATTTTGTTATTATTATTTTTTTTGAGATAGAGTCTCGCTCTGTCACCCAGGTTGGAGTAGAGTGACGCAATCATGGTTCACTGCAACCTCTATACCCCAGGCTCAAGTGATCCTCCCACTTCAGCCTCCCAAGTAGCTGGGACTGCAGGCGCAGGCCACCACGCCCAGCTAATTATTTTTTGTCTCGTTATGTTGCCCAGGCGGGTTTCAAACTCCTGGGCTCAAGTGATCCTCCTGCCTCAGGCTTCTGAAGTGCTGAGATTACAGGTGTGAGCCACTGCAACAGAGTTTCAAAATTAGTTTCCAGCGCTGAAAAATCAGGAGATAGCACACACAGACAGACACACGGTGTTTTGTTTTTTTTTTTTTTAAAACCTCTTTGAAAGCAGCAGTAGTGTATTATTTTCTCATGGAATTGAGCTGATGAGGCGTGGGCTCCCTAACTTCCCTCTCTTTTCACAACCACCAGTTTTATTTATTATTGCTAATTTTCTGGCCTCCATAGGCAACTGAGTTTGCACCATCTGATTGAAGCCATTCTCCTTGGCTTCCATTCTCTCATTCTTGACTCCAAGAAGATATGCAGTTAACCTGTGGATGTCCATTATTAGCAGTTTCTTTGTAGCTGTATTTACCTTATGATATTAAGCAGAATTATTTTCTGAATGATCATTTCTATATACCTGTGGATGTCCATTATTAGCAGTTTCTTTGTAGCTGTATTTACCTTATGATATTAAGCAGAACTATTTTCTGAATGATCATTTCTATATAAACAGGGAAACACAAAACCTAGGGGACTAGTTGGCCAGGTTCACCTAGATGTGTACACACATTCCCTGGAGCAACCGCGAGAGTGCTAGTTAAGCATGCCCTTACATTTAGGGATTCTCAGCGGAGGGAGACCAAGTCATGCCTTGTATGGAAAGTTCTTTCTTCTGTTGTGTCCAAATTTGCTTCCCAGTCTCAGCCATTTTGTAGTCCTTAGTCTGCCTTTTGAAATGGCAAACTAATCTTAAAACGAGAGTTTGTGGGAGCCAGAAAGAACTTTGGAATATCTGCCTTCGCATTCTCAGTGGGCAGGTGCCCTGACACTTAGTAACATGGTTGTGCTTACCTTATATCCTCAAAGTTCTGACTTATGCTCACTGGACAGCTTTTTCCTTTGGTTGAACCTCCTCATTGTATTTCAGTATGTACATAAAAGGGAGTCTTTTAGGCTAAATTCTGTTTCTTTTTTATTGGCATTAGGATTATGTATATCACGTAGTGAGTGCGATCTGTGAATGGACAGTGGCCTTTGGTTTTATTTTCTACTTCCTAACTTTCATCCAAGATTTCCAGGTAAGTGTTTATCAATTCAAATGTTTTAAATTGCTGACAATTAGGATTTGTACAAATTTGCAGAAGACATTTTGCATTTTTAAAAAGAGCACTTTCTTTTTATCTTTAATGTGTTTGACAAAAATATGTGAGGATTGTGCAACTTCATGTATTAGCTTCTTCCCAATGGGAGGCATCTTTAATAGCTCTCCCACCAATGAGATTTTCATATGTCCTCTGCTGTTTGATGTTAATAGTCATAAATCCTGCTTGTTTTCTTTTAGGAGGTCTCACTTACTAGTTCCAAATAATAGAAAGTAAATATATCTTTTTAAAAAATAAAAGTATGCCGGATGCGGTGGTTCATGTCTGTAATCCCAGCACTTTGGGAGGCTTAGGCAGGCGGATCACCTGAGGTCGGGAGTTCGAGAGCAGCCCGACCAACATGGAGAAACCCCATCTCTACTAAAAATACAAAATTAGCTGGGGGTGGTGGCACATGCCTGTATTCCCAGCTACTCAGAAGGCTGAGGCAGGAGAATCACCTGAACCCGGGAGGCGGAGGTTGCGGTGAGCTGAGATCATACCATTGCACTCCAGCCTGGGCAACAAGAGCGAGACTCTGTCTCAAAATAAATAAATAAATGAATAAATAAAAAATAAAAGTGTTCTTCAAAAAATATTCCCAAAGCAGATAGAAGATGGGACTACATCAGATTTGTCCACAGGAAAAATCTTACATTTTGAGACAAGTGAATTATTAGCTCAAAGGATATAGAAAGCCAAGAAAATTGTTTAGGACCTGACTCAAGGATAGCACAAACCATAGTGAGATCATTCCTTAGGTGGTGCAAAGCTGTTGGAAATGTCATCGTCAACGCTGGGATTATTTAACTTCTTTTAAACCTTTTTCTTTCGTTTTTTAAAATAGAGTGTCACCCTAAGGATATCCACAGAAATCAATGGTGATCTTTGAAGAAAGAAGAATTTGATCTCACTCAGTGAATGTTGCAGGACATTTCTAGAAGTGCTACAGAGGACAGACAGGGTTTTGAGGCCGCCCTGATTATTGGGATGCATCTGCAGCACATCCAGGACTTGAATTTCGTTAAGAGTTCCTAATAGTTGTACTGTTTCTAAAGATGTGTTTCCTAGAGAATGTACAGCCTTACGACACTGTAGTGATGTTTTTATAATTTTCTAAGTAGATTTTTTTATATTAACAAATTCATATACAGAAAAAATAAGGTATTACAAAAAAATGGAGAGCTCTTATTTTTGTACAGATTCTGTCGTTTTTTTTAATTTGTGTGCGATTTATGGAAATACATTAAATGAGTAATTTAGGTTCAGTACATTTGTTACAAAGTGAAATCAGGGGATATTCATTTGTAAATTTTATTCTTAATGAATGAACTGTATAATTTTTTTATCACAAGAACATTTATAAAATTCAATTTATAAAGATCATATACCCAAATCATAAAAATTTAGTTAATACATTAACACTAAGATACTGATTTTTAGCCGAACTAAGCAAAGTGCTTCAACTGAGAGGCCTTTATACCACCATGTACAGTAACTCTAAGTGAATATGGAAGACCTTGGTTTTGAAATTCTGCCACCCACCTTGTTTCTCCCTGCTCATGAGGCCGCACCTTTTGCTCTTGCTGCTAACTGGCCATTCGTAGTGAGTGTAATTACAGGTGGAATGGTTTCAGTAAGTCAGGTGAAAGCCACCCTTTATTGTTTTTGGCACAACTTGATATGTAGTCTGACTCAGAACTGAAACTCACATCTCAAATTCATTTCATGCCAGTAAATGTGGCAAAGAGAACAAAGGCCCAAGAGCGAGACAAGGAGAAAGGAGAAAGGGGCAGCCAAGAAGAACTTCTGGGTGAGGGTGCTATTTATATGCTCCTCCTTTTCATGCCTGTGACTGGATGTCCCTCAACACTATAGGAAATATGAGTCAAGCCCATTGTATTAAGCAAGAACTACAGACTCCGTCTTTTCACCCAAATCATGAATGGCCAATAAAAAGCAAGTTATTCCAGAGGAGGAAGCAGCCCTTGAAATGTTACGGCTTAGGCCTGAAAGGTGAAGAGCAGGAATTCTGTCTTTCAAAGACCCTAGAGCATAAACCCATGTGTGGCCAAGTGGGATCAGCCCTCAAGGGCACATGCCAAGGGCAGAGCAGCCCATGTAAACAGCTTCAGAGGGCATGGGGGTGTAGGAGTTGGGGGTAGCTCCTCATTAACTATTTGTTGGGTGAGTATAGGGGTGAGGCTCAGTGGCAGTCAGGTACCTCTGCAATGGCAAGCTGTCTCCCCTCTACGTGTTTAGCATATGTTGTTAGAACACGTCCCGCACCCCTACCACTGCCATGTAGGCCCTTTAATAAGGCTGAGTAGAGAAATCTGGCAATAAAAGGCAAACATAAGGATGCTTTCTTTAAGATGCACCATAAATGGTTTTCTTTAAGTGAATGGAAGAGTTTGACAGAGAAACACCTTTGTAAGCAAACATTAAGAATGCTGGCTGGGTGTGGTGGCTCACACCTGTAATCCCAGCACTTTGGGAGGGCCAGGCAAGAGGATCGCTTGAGCCTGGGACTTTGAGTCCAGACTGGGAAACGTGGCAAAATCCCTACAACAAAAATACAAAAATTAGCCAGGTGTGGTGGCATGTGCCTGGAGTCCCAGTTACTTGGGAGGCTGAGGTGGGAGGATCACCGGAGCCCAGGAGGTTGAGGCTGCAGTGAGCCATGTCAGTGCACTCCAGTCTGGGCAACAGAGCAAGACCCTGTCTCAAATAAATAAATAAATAAATAGAATGCTAATCATTTCTGGGTTCACTGTGACTTGTTGTAATGCTGGGGATCTCCTTTGTAACACTGGAACTGAAAGACAGTGACGAACGCTATGTCAAGCATTCATTATTCTGAAGAGGAATAGAAATGCCACATACCTTTCCCATGGGACCTGTGGTGGAATGAATCCATGGTTCTGCCTCACTTCGAGCAGACTTGTTCTCAGTACTCCTCACGATGGATATTCATGCTTCATTTTCACATCTCTCTGCACAATTAGATTGGGAGCTCCTTGAGGGCAGAGTGTGCCTTGATCTTTATCTTTGTAATGCCACAATGAACACAGTGCCTCCTGGTACACTGTAGGTGCTTAAGAAATACTCACTGAATGCATGCATGCATGAACGAATGAATGAATGAATGAAGGAAGGAATGACTAAGGATGTTTGTAGTGCTATAATATAGAATGGGATTTACTCTGCTTTACTAGTTAGTTTCTTAATAAACAAATAGTCTGCATCGCCTGGTAATGTTGACTGTTTTTCTTTGTGTACTGTAAACATTTCAGTTGTTTGGACATCCCCATTCTATGACAACTATCTTCAACCTGGACAGTTACCACAGACATTGCTACATGAGCTAGACCAAATGTATACCTGTCTTGGCAAACTGAGAAGGCCAGAAAATCACTCCAGACAACCATATTCAGCAGATTCCATGTGACCTCTAAACCTGGTCTTACTCACATTTTGGTATTACTTCTAATTTCCATGAACTTGCATTTCCTTGGACCTCATGGCTGAAAGAGTTAAATGAAATGAAATATTTCTTTATTTTAATTTTTCTTTTTTTTTTTTGAGTCTCGTTCTGTTGCCCAGGTTGGAGTGCTAGTGGCGCAATCTAGGCTCACTGCAGCCTCCGCCTCCCGGGTTCAAGTCATTCTCTTGCCTCAGCCTCTCGAGTAGCTGGGACTAGAGGCATCTGCCATCACGCCCGGCTAATTTTTTGTATTTTAGTAGAGATGGGGTTTCACCGTGTTAGCCAGGATGGTCTTGATCTCCTGATCTCATGATCCGCCCGCCTCGGCCTCCCAAAGTGCTGGGACTACAGATCCATTTGGACTTCATAAAGGTATGATTACGATTTAAACCTTATGCTTTCTTAATTCATGTAGTTTTCTATGTGGGCACGATTGGTTCATCTTCGTAGATTCTCAAACGTTAGCATCAGAAGTTTATGTCAGTCAAGATTGAGAGATGAAGAGATCAGAAATCCAACAAGAAGGAGAAAAGGGAATCAGAAATCCAACAAGAAGAGGAAAAGGGCATCTATATTGCCTCAAGTAACTGAGACATTCAGGAGTGGAACTGGCTTTATGGGTGGCTGGATCTAAATGTGCCATTAGGACTCCATCTTCTCTTTCCTCCTCTCAGCTGGCTTCATTCTCAAGCAGGCTTTCCCCTAGTGGAAGTGAGAGGGCATCTACAACCCCCAGACACACATCATCCAGAAAAAGAGGGGGAAAGAAAGGACTTCTCAACAGTTCCAACCACATGCCCATGACTTGTCTCTGATTGGCTGGCTTGGATCACATGCCATTGGGAGGTCTGAGGCTCTGATTGGTGAGATATGAATCACATGTTCACCCCTGGAGCAGGGAGGGGTCAACACCACCAAAACTAGCGGGCTGATGGTGACTGAAAGTTGTTTCTCAGAAGAAAAGGGTGGAAATGGGTCTCTAACAGACAAAAAGCAGATTCCACTGTGGAATTAAAACCCCTTTTCCCTTCATACCCTCCCCGCCCAAAAGCCAACCTAACTCGCTTCACAGTAAACCAAAGTATACTTGCTAATAACCTTTTCAAATTTGAAAGTAAATAAGCCATTTAGATAATACAAAAACCTTATGTTAACTCCAAAGTTATGTTTATATTTTTTAAAAGTTCTTGTTTTATTATTTAGTCTCTCTTACTTAGAATCAGTTTTATTATTTAGTCTCTCTTACTTAGTCTCCCAAAAATTTCCTGATTTCTAATCAAGTGGGTCTTTTTTTTTTTTTTTAACACTAACACAGAGGATTCCACAGAAATTGCATTTTATAAACCAAATTAAGTGCATCAGTGTTGTGCTGTGTTTGGGTTTCCTAACATCCCTTACATGTGGCATTGTCCCATGTTCCCATTTTTACTCAGTTGGAGACATACTAGTCTGGTGTTTGGGCCTGGAATGAGGAAAGGGCAGTGGGAGGAAGATAAGTGGTATCCCATTCTCTCCCACTGCCTGATTCTGGCAAGCCAGTAAGCCCAGCCGTCTCCCCACACACATACTCTTGGTCTGGCTCTGAATGCCCCACATTCTCCAGTCCAGAATGTCATGCATCTGCATCATGTCTGTTGCACAAGAGAGCAACCACAGCCTCAAACCCTGGAGTGGAATTTTCTGACTCTCCTTGGTCACTCCCAGCAGATTCATCTTCTTTTCTTTTCTTCTTTTTTTTTTTTTTTAGATGGAGTCTCGCTCTTGTCGCCCAGGCTGGAGTGCAATGGCGTGATCTCGGCTCGCAGCAACCTTCGCTTCCTGGGTTCAAGCGATTCTCCTGCCTCAGCCTCCCAAGTAGCTGGAATTACAGGCGCCTGCCACCACACCCAGCTAAGTTTTGTATTTGTAGTAGAGACGGGGTTTCACCATGTTGGCCAGGCTGGTCTCGAACTCCCGACCCCAGGTGATCCACCCACCTCGGCTCCCCAAAGTGCTAGGATTACAGGCGTGAGCCACTGTGCCTGGCCCCAGATTCATCTTCTAAAATGAAGAGTAGCAGGTTTCCAGACCCATACTGGAGTTGGCAGTGACCGCCAGAGTCCATGCTTGGAAAATGCTGAAGAAGATGTCAATAGTCTGTCTTGTGGGTTAAGACAAGGTGGTGTAGGGTGCCCAGAAAGCCTGAGGTTTAGGTAGTTCCTCAGCAACAAGCGTTGCTCTGTGCCCCACCATCCTCAAGGCCAGTTCCACCTCTGGATGTCTCAGTTACATGAGTTGATAAAAGTCTCTAACTTCAATAAACTGGAGTTAGATTACAGATGATTAGACCTGTAAGAGTCCTGACTGATAACAGATACACAAGAGTTCCCCTAATATGAAAATACAGTAAACTACTATCATCTGGAGTCATTTTTATTTCATTTTTTTTTCTTTGGCAGTTTTCTTTTTTCAGTACAGACTTGCCTTCAGAGGAAAGATCATTTTTACATAAGTGGATTCAGCTGCCCCCACTCACAATCCTCACCCTCTGAACCATTTGTTTTTATTTCAAAAAATTTGAGTAATATTTTCACAATTCAAAACTCAAAACAATATGAAAAGGTATACTGTGAAAAGCCTTTTTGCTTTTCCCTACCTGCATTTACTCAATTAATTCACTCTCCTTGCAGATGTCCACTTCTTTTTTTTTTTTTTTTTTTTTGAGACAGAGTCTTCCTGTGCATGATGATCATGCAGTGCAGTAGCATGATCTCCACTTACTGCGACCTATGCCTCCTGGGTTCAAGCAGTTCTTCCTGCCGCAGCCTCCTGAGTAGCTGGGATTACAGGTGCCCACCACCATGCCCAGCTAACTTTTGTATTTTAGTCAAGATAGGGTTTCACCATGTTGGTGAGGTTGGTCTCAAACTCCTGACCTCAAGTGATCCGCCTGCCTTGGCCTCCCAAAGTGCTGAGATTACAGGTGTCAGCCACTGTGCTCAGCCTAGATATTCACTTTTTATCAGATTTTTATGAAAATACAAGTCAAAACAAATATTTTAACATGTTTCCCTTTTCATTTTTATCCCAAATATAGTATACTGTACAACCGGTTTTGAGTCTTTTTTGACATAGCAATGTATCTTGGAGATGTTTCCTTTATCAATACATAGAGATCTCCCTCATTTTTAAGGTTAATTTGCTTTGTTTTATACCTGTACAGTATTCCATTGTATGGCTGTGCCATCATTTATTTAACAAGTTCCCTATTTGATGAGCAATTACATGGTTTCCAAATTTTTGCAATTACAAGTAGATGCCTTTGTACATACATCATGTCACACATGTGCAAGGAAATCTCTAGGAGAAATTCCAGTGAGTGGGATGTTGGGAAATCCATCTGTTATTTTGCAAATGTTATCTTGCCTTTAGAACCTTTTCACTTGAATATTTTTATTGGGAATCTTTTTTTCTTTTTCTTCTTTCTTCCTTTCATTCTTTCTTTCTTCTTTTTTTCTCCTTTCTTTTTCTTCCTTCTTTCTTTTTCTTTTCCTTTTTTTTTTTTTTTTTGAAGACTGGTCAAGTGCAGCAGTGGGAGTGGAGAAGGAAGACAAAAATCTGTAACTGGGCTGGGCATGGAGGCTCATGCCTGTGATCCCACACTTTGGGAGGCTGAGGTGGATAGATCACTTGAGTCTAGGAGTTCAAGACCAGCCTGAGCAACATAGCAAGACCCCATCTCTACAAAAAAGTTAGCCAAGAATGGTGGTGCAAGCTGTGGTCTCAGCTACTCAGAAGGCAAGGGAGGAGGACCACTTGAGCCTGGGGAGGCAGAGGTTGCGGTGAGCAGAGATTGTGCCACTGCACTCCAGTCTAGGCTATAGAGAAAACTAAACTAAAATAAAGAAATCTGTAACTGGTTGTGAACAATTAGTTGTAAACACCAGTGCACTCGGACAAGCCAGGAATCTTTCTGATTACACACATTTTCTCCTAACCTGAGGATGCTGAATATAAGGTCACGTTTCCTTGGTGACTCAGTCATCCATGACTGTAGATCAGGCGCAAATGTGGATTCTGCAGTAGATGGTGTGGGACAGAGGCCTGCCAACTTGGTCACAGGCCTTCTACAAACACCCCTTCTGTTCCCTCTTTTATGTAACCGCCTACTGCAGGGAGTGCAAGACTGTGTGCTCCTCTTTCTGATGACAGCAGAACTCACCTGTCTTCTGCCTCCAACCACAACTCTGACATGTCTTCTTGTCAGACACTCTCGCAAGAGTGTCTCCAGTTCACTTGGGTTTTTCATTATGACATTGCAGACTTTTGCAACTAGTTGCAAAATTTTGTCAATGCCTCTTTCAGTTTGTACTCACTTTTCCTTTTTGGTATCTCTCTGAAGTCCATTACTTGTCTTATACTTCTTTCCTATCTTTTGAGGGGATTGTATTTTTGTTGTTGTTTTGTTTGTTTGTTTGTTTTAAATTTTGAGGCGGAGTCTCGCTCTGTCGTGAGGCTAAAGTGCAATGGTGCGAGCTTGGCTCACTGCAACCTCCACCTCTCAGGTTCAAGTAATTCTCCTGCCTCAGTCTCCTGAGTAGCTGGGACTACAGGCATGTGCCAACATGCCCAGCTAATTTTTGTATTTTTAGTAGCGACCAGGTTTCACCATGTTGGCTAGGATGGTCTTGATCTCTTGACCTCATGATCCACCCACTTCAGCCTCCCAAAGTGCTGGGATTACAGGCGTGAGCCACCGTGCCCAGCTGGAGACGATTGTATTTTTATAGAC